TCCCATCTCCTTAAGAATTTTCCACAGTTTGTTGTGATCCACACACTTGAAGGCTTTGGCATAGTCAATAAAGCAGAAATAGATGTTTTTCTGGAACTCACTTGCTTTTTTGATGATCCAACAGATTTTGGCAATTTGATCTCTGGTTCCTCTGCCTTTTCTAAATCTAGCTTGAACATCTGGAAGTTCATGGTTCACGTATTGCTGAAGCCTGGCTTGGAGAATTTTGAGCATTACTTTGCTAGTGTGTGAAATGAGTGCAATTGTGGCAGTAGTCTGAACATTCTTTGGCATTGCCTTTCTTTGGAATTGGAATGAAAACTGACCTTTTCCAATCCTATGGCCACTGCTCAGTTTTCCAAATTTGCTGGCATATTGAGTGCAGCACTTTCATAGCATCATCTTTTAGGATTTGAAATAGCTCAACTGGAATTCCATCACCTCCACTAGCTTTGTTCATAGTGATGCGTCCTAAGGCCCACTTGACTTTGCATTCCAGGATGTCTGGTTCTAGGTGAGTGACCACACCATTGTGATTATCTGAGCCATTAAGATCTCTTTTGTATAGCTCTTCTGTGTATTCTTGCCACCTCTTCTTAATATCTTCTGCTTCTGTTAGGGCCATACCATTTCTGTACTTTATTGAGCCCGTCTTTACATGAAATGTTCCCTTGGTGTCTCTAATTTTCTTGAAGAGATCTCTAGTCTTTCCCATTCTATTGTTTTCCTCCATTTCTTTGCACTGATCACTGAGGAAGGCTTTCTTATCTCTCCTTACTATTCTTTCAAACTCTGCGTTCAGATGGGTATATCTTTCCTTTTCTCCTTTGCCTTTAGTTTCTCCTCTCTTCTCAGCTATTTGTAAGGCCTTCTCAGACATCCATTTTGTCTTTTTGCATTTCTTTTTCTTGCGGATGGTCTTGATTACTGCCTCCTGTATAATGTCACCAACCTCTGTCCATAGTGCTTCAGGCACTCTATCTATCCAATTTAATCCCTTGAATCTATTTCTTACTTCCAATGTATAATCCTAAGGGATTTGATTTAGGTCATACCTGAATGGTCTAGTGGTTTTCCATACTTTCTTCAATTTAAGTCTGAATTTGGCAATAAGTAGTTCATGATCTGAGCCACAGTCAGCTCCTTGTCTTGTTTTTGATGACTGTATAGAGCTTCTCCATCTTTGGCTGCAAAGAACATGATCAATCTGATTTTGGTGTTGGCCATCTGATGATGTCCATGTGTACAGTCTTCTCTTGTCCTGTTGGAATTAAAATTTGTGCTCAGTTAAAAGAATGTGTGTGCCACCCAGCCCATTTAAGTGAAATACTGGGGCATGAGTTGTTGTTACTAACCCTAGGGTAGTTTGTTTCTATTTCTGCCTCTGGTAAGAATCCTGAGGATGACCTCTGGATGTTCCTTCCATGCTTCTCTGATATACCAAAGTGAAACAGGGAATATGACATATCAGACATGCATCATGTCAGCATAATAGTGAGAGGGAAAATACGATCAAACAAATATCCATAAAGGAAACAGTAAGTGTACATTTTTAGTTAGTATATAAGTAAAGAGTGTCAGAGTTGGTCACCTGAGAAAAGTATAGTTCACACAGATTTTGCCACCTATGACAAAAAGGTCAAACAGGAAGAAAAGCAGAATATTTTTTAAAAAGTCACTAGAAGGAAAGGAAGAAATGGAGAGCTATCGTTTAATGGGTTACAGTTTCAGTTTTGCATGATGAAAAATTCTGGAAATCCATTTGCACAACAATGTGAATATACTTAACAATATTGAACTGTACACTTAAAATGGTTAAGACAGTGAATGTTATGTGTGCTTTACCCAATTTAAAAGATAAGGAAGTTGAGGGTCACTAGAAAAAGGCCAAAGTGGTGATGAAGTGAGACACTAAGCCCTTGAACTCTAGTGTATCTGTCTTCTCCATGACACAAGAAAACATAGAGGAGGAAAACAAAATCCACCCAGTTTATACATCAAAAGAACACTCAGCCCAAAGAAGGAAAAGAGAGCTGGCCGGGGAGGGTGTGTTTGCTCCCACTGATCTTGTCAAGGTTGCATGCATGCATGGATGCTCAGTCGATTCAGTCATGTCCAACTCTTTGCGACCCCATGGACTGTACCCCACCAGGCTCCTCTGTCCATGGAATTCTCCAGGCAAGAATACTGGAGTGAATTACCATTCCCTTCTCCAGGGGATCTTCCTGACCCAGGGATCTCACCTATGTCTCCTGCGTCCCCTGCATTGCAGGAGGATTCTTTACTGCTGAGCCACCATGGAAGCCCCCTATCAAGGTTGGGCAGGTGAAATGGATCACACACATGGCCCCGCCTTCCCCTCTTATCTGCAGCCTGCAGCTATAGAACTACAAGATAGGGTTTGGGAGGATCAGCTCAGGAGACCATATCTATGCACCCACTGTAATTCTAATGGAATTACTGAAAAGTTGGGAAAAGAAAGAGGAGAAAGTAAGGAAAAGAAGTTAACATGAGACTTGGTCCAAAATGCAAATGAATGGATTTTGTGATGGGTGAAGATCAGCTGGGGTCGTTGTTCCCATAGGCAGGCAGTCCCACAGGGGCTTATCCTCCAACTGAGGGACCTGACCTACTCATGTACCCTGAAATCAATTCAGTGAATCCTAGCCACTTGTCTGTGGAAAAAATGAAATAGATTTATTAAATTAAACAGAATATGTCAAGAGTGCATTGCACATAATGAGTTAGTTACTTTTGACCCTTGAACAACACACATTTGAACTGTGAAGATCTAATCATGAACAGATTTATTTTTTTCAATAGCAAATACTATAGTACTGCAGTATCCGACATTGGTTGAATCTATGGATAGGGAACTGCGGCGACAAGGAACTGGGAGTACAAACGGCTGACTATATATTATACACAGGTTTTGCACTTCATGGAGGGTCAGTGCCCCTAACCCCTGCTTTGTTCAAGGGTTAACTGTGTTGTCCTGTGAACTATGTGTCTAAAAGCTTTCCTGGCTGTGAATTCCCTGATGACACTGTACCCACTCTTTTTCAGTCTGTATGGCAAGGAATCATGAGAAAACTTTTAAGCCACTAGAGTTACCCCAAATTTATCACCTATTCACATTGTTAATGACTGATTTCAAAATGCTGATGAGCTGTTGTTTTGACTTTTCTTTGGAAAATCTGTTTCTTATGAAAGGATTTATGTTATTTTACTGTTCTTGTGTACTGCAGTAAAGTGAAAGTTGCTCAGCTCTTTGAGACCCCATGGGCTATACAGTCCATGGAATTCTCCAGGCCAGAATACTGGAGTAGGTTGCCTTTTCCCTTCTCCAGGGGATCTTCCCAACCCAGGGATCAAACCCAGGTCTCCCGCATTGCAGGCGATTCTTTACCAGCTGAGCCACAAGGGAAGCCCATGTACTGCAGTAAAACCTCTGCTATTCTGAATCATGTGAGAATGAACCATTCTAGATGAGCTAATTTTCTTGGTTCTAGAAGTTGTTTGATTCCCACACAATCCCTATGAAGTCCCATTCCCAAGACTAGAAACTCTCCAACCTACTGGCTGTGACTATCACACTTCTGTGCTTTTGAGAAGACAGCCCTATAGGTCCTACCAGTCCGTTGGTGCCCAACTGAGGACTTCAGGCTATTCCCGACATTCAAGAGTACCAAAGTCTCATTTGAATATGGAAGAGTTCCATGTCAGTAAACTAGAATCATCCATATTAAATCTCCACTCACTCAAAACATGCTATCCTAAAATTATTTTCAAAAGTAAGATTTTATTATTACATCACTGTCAATAACAATCAAGTATTTATACAATCTCCTTCCCAATCTTGCCCTACTCCTACCCCAAATACAAGCCTTGAAATGTGGAAGTACAGAGGCTCTTCTCAATACCTGCATGCTAACCCATAAGATATTTTTTGGTGCAAATTAGAAAAAGGCACTTCTTCCTCGTTATTTCCATTAAAATTGGTATCATCGTCATTATCGTTCCGCTGCTAAGTCGTGTCTGACTCTGCAATCCCATGAACTGCAGCATGCCAGACTTCCCTGTCCTTCACTGTCTCCAGGAGTTTGCTCAAATTCATGTCCATTGACTCGGTGATGCTATCTAACCATGTCATTCTCTGCCACCTTCTTCTCCTTTTACCTTTAATCTTCCCCAGCACCAGAGTCTTTTCCAATGAGCTGGTTCTTTGCAATGGGTGGTCAAACTATTGGAGCTTCAGCTTCAGCATCAGTCCTTCCAATGAACTTCCGATAATTTCTGTTAAAAATTGGTATAATAAACTCATTTCCTTGAAAAGGAACATTTAACTGCTATTGGCTAGAACACTGTATTCAAAAACACACAAAACCACAATGTCAAAAAGGGAAATGACAAGTGCTTACAATGGCACAACCACACAATGGCAGTATCCCTAGTCAATATCTGGTCCATACTTGTCTGCATTCTCACTTCCCTTAAGTCCAAGGCTCACCTTCTCTACCAAAATGTGGCTTATATGATCACCTGCCACATTCATCTCATTCTCTGATCAGTACTTAACTAATTTGGTACTTTGTGTTCACTGTTCTGTAATCAAGTTGTCTTTGGGATTATCTTCCTATCAGGAGTACAGGTCCTTCAAAAACAGGAGATACAGGTTAAATGCTTTTGTACATAACAGTCCTTGCTATGTTCAGTCAGAGCTCAATAAATGTTTGTTGGTAAAAGCTATGATACAATGAAATGGTGATGATATATTTTATTATGTCTTTTTTCTTTAAAGAAGTACTTCAGTCATACTCACTGACCTAGGCTGATCTCAAAGTAAAAAGAACTGAACATATCACTAACATTGTATTGAGAATTCTGTTAAATCATTTTCCTTTTCAAATAACAAACAATGACAGGTTGTTCTGTTTTGAAAGCATTCCTAAAACAGGAAAGGAGGCCTAAAACATATCTACTCTTTCCCCTGTTTACAGCTTACTCTCTACTCTGGAAGGTTTGAAGAGTTTCAGAGCACACTGACAAAAAGCAATGAGGTGTTCGCCACTTTCAAACAAGAAATGGATAAAGTGAGTACTGCCTGTCTCCCATGAAATGCTGACATTTTCTATTTTGACAGGCAATTTTCCTTTGGGTTCATGTTTCTCTTGCTAAGATGTTTCAGTGCATTTCATGAAATAATGAAACATTTATACATGCAAATGAGATTTGGGCTGTATTTTATTGGTTAAATATCTGGTGGATTAATTTTAGGAAGAATCCAAAAACATCAGGATACATTTTCACCCTGAGGAAGAATATTTTCTTTTTCTAGTCCATGGCGAGGTTTAAAAAGAAAAGCGCTAGCAATATATTATTATGTTGTTTATGTTAAAATAAAAACATCAAATCTTCTAATGATTAAAAAAAACAGCTTTCATACAAATATGCAAGAGCAGAATGTTAAGAGTAGAAAATACCATTTCATAGAATCCTTCTCAGAAGAGAATATATGTAATATGATATAACTGAGACAATCTTTAATGAGAAGTCTGAATTCAAATTCTGGGCATGCTCTTACTCATCAAGTAGCAGTAAACAATTCACTTAACTTCTCCCTTATTAAAATGCTATTTTTCTTGCCTATGTCACAAGATTGTTAAGTTCAAATAAGTTAATGTATTTTTAAGGATTTTAAACTTTTTAAAAGTCTTTTACAAATTGTATCGTTTGTTGTTATTTTAGTCGCTAAGTCATGTCAGACTCTTTTGCAACCCCATAAACTGCAGCCCACCAGGCTTCTCTATCCACACATTTTCCAGGCAAGAATACTGTTGTGTGTAGTTATTTCCTCCTGCAGGGGATCTTCTTGACCTAGGGATCAAACCCATGTCTCCTGCATTGGTAGGCAGATTCCTTACCATTGAGCCACCCAGGAAGTCCACATTTACAAATATAAGTTGCTAATTTTATTACTGGACATAATGTTAAATTTTATTTAATTCATTGTTTTCCCAAAACAAAATCAGCATCAGAACTGTTTTTCTAAACAGGCACTAGCATTAACCTCTTTTAAGTGTAGAAAACATTCTTTAAAAAAAAATTTCACAAACATATATGATAAATTTCAACATTCACAAGAAAACTTAATAGGTCAACATTTCTTAAAAGTTACAACTTTTCCACTCCAGAATGAATTCATCCATTTAAAAAATATTTTTTTAATTACAGAGTTTTAATTTGGAACAAATATTAGAGTAGAAAAATGTTATTTATTTCAAAATTAAATAGTTTTAAGATTTGGTTAAATATTAGAGCAAGAATTTTTATCTGAAGCTCCTTTATAGACTTTTAGTAGAATTAGAAAAAAATTGATATGCATACTGCATTTCTTTAGGTGTGGTCCCATCAGTTCAGGTCCATCTCTCAGTCATGTAGGACTCTTTGCCACCGTATGGAATGCAGCACACCAGGCTTCCCTGTCCATCAGCAACTCTCAGAGCTTGCTCAAACTCATGTCCATCGAGTCACTGATGCCATCCAACCATCTCATCCTCTGTTGTACTCCTGCCTTCAGTCTTTCCTGCCATCAGGGTCTTTGCCAATGAGTCAGTTCTTTGCATCAGGTGGCCAAAGTATTGGAGCTTCAGCTTCAACATTAGTCCTTTCAATGAATATTCAGGACTGATTTCCTTCAGGATTCACTGGTTGGATCTCCTTGCAGTCCAAGGGACTCTCAAGAGTCTTCTCTAGCACCACAGTTCAAAAGCATCAATTCTTTGGCACTCAGTTTTCTTTATGGTCCAACTCTCACATCCATACATGACTACTGGAAAAATCATAGCTTTGACTAGACAGACCTTTGTTGGCAAAGTAATGTCTCTGCTTTTTAATATGCTGTCTAGGTTGGTCATAGCTTTTCTTCCAAGGAGCAAGTGTCTTAATTTCATGGCTGTACTCACCATCTGTAGTGATTTTGGAGCCCAAGAAAATAAAGTCTGTCACTGTTTCCATTGTTTACTCAACTATTTGTCATGAAGTGATAGGACCAGATGCCATGATCTTTGTTTTTTGAATGTTGAGTTTTAAGCTAGCTTTTTCACTCTCCACTTTCACTTTCATCAAGAGGCTCTTCAGTTCCTCTTCACTTTCTGCCATAAGGGTGGTGTCATCTGCATATCTGAGGTTATTGATATTTCTCCCAGAAATCTTGATTCCAGCTTGTGCTTCATCCACCCTGGCCATTTCACATATGTACTCTGCATAGAAGTTAAATAAGCAAGGTGACAATATACGGCCTTGATGTACTCCTTTCCCAATTTGGAACCAGTCTGTTGTTCCATGTCCAGTTCAAACTGTTGCTTCTTGACCTACATACAGATGTCTCAGGAGGCAGGTAAGGTGGTCTGGTATGCCCATCTCTTTAGGAAAGTTCCACAGGTGTTCTGATCCACACAGTCAAAGGCTTTAGCAGAGTCAATGAAGCAAAAGTAACATTCTTCTGGAATTCCCTTGCTTCCTCCATGATCCAACAGACGTTGGCAATTTAATCTCTGGTTGCTCTGCCTTTTCTAAATCCAGCTTGAACATCTGGAAGTACTCCGTTCATGTACCATTGAAGTCTGGCTTTTGAGTATTACTTTGCTAGTGTGTGAGATGAGTGCAATTGTGAGACAGTTAGGACATTCTTTGGCATTTCCTTTCTTTGGAATTGGAATGAAAACTGACCTTTTCCAGTCCTGTGGCCACTGCTCAGTTTTCCAAATTTGCTGGCATAGAGTGCAGCACTTTAACATCTTTTAGAATTTGAAATAGCTCAACTGGAATTCCATCACCTCCACTAGCTTTGTTCGTAGTGATGCTTCCTAAAGCCCACTTGACTTCACACTCCATGATGTCTGGCTCTAGGTACGTGATCACACCATCATGGCTATCTGAGTCATTAAGATCTCTTTTGTATAGTTCTTCTGTGTATTCTTGCCACCTTTTCTTAATATCTCTACTTCCATTAGGTCCATACCATTTCTGTCCTTTATTGTGCCCATCTTCACATGAAATGTTCCCTTGGTGTCTCTTAATTTTCTTGAAGAGATCTCTAGTCTTTCCCATTCTATTGTTTTCCTCTATTTCTCTGCATTGATCACTGAGGAAGGTTTTCTTATCTCTCCTTACTGTTCTTTCAAACTCTGCATTCAGATGGGTATATCTTTCCTTTTCTCCTTTGCCTTTTGTTTCTCCTCTCTTCTCAGATATTTGCAAGGCCTTCTCAGACATCCATTTTGTCTTTTTGCATTTCTTCTTCTTGGGGATGGTTTTGATCACCGTCTCCTGTACAATGTTACCAACCTCCATCCATAGTTCTTCGGGCACTCTTTTATCTATCAGATCTAATCACTTGAATCTATTTATCACTTCCACTTTCCACAGATTTCATTAAATTCCTATAGGGGCTGATGACACTTAAAAAATTAATAAACTATTAACTCACTTAAGAAATGATGAAAATAAAAAAGCACTGGAGGCTCACGTAGCTTCTCGACAGAGCCCAGAAGCCAACAGCCTGGGCCTCCAAGCAGACCCAATATTAGGCTTTTTGGCACGAAGCAACCAGTGCCCATGTGCAGTTAATCCAGGGTTATTGTACCTGAATACAAGCCCTGTCCTTCACATCATCCAAGCAGAGAGGAGATCCTATAACCAAGAACACAGAGTAGTTTCAGATTTGCAAAAGCTAGGCTGCATTTTATTCATTTCTGTATGCCCTACACCCAGCCCCTGCCTCGCCACCAGCAGGCACTCTGCACATGCTGCATTAAATGGAAATGACTCCAGTCCTACTCCTCTGAAAACTCACCTGAATCATTACTCCATCTCTCTGAACCTTAGTTTCCCCATTTATAAAGTAGAGGTGAAATTAGAACCTTCCTTGGGGGACTGTCTCAAGGATGAAATGAAATGAATAACGCATGCAATCACATTCTGTGAATCCTACTGCACTCTACAAACATGAAGGCTGAGAAAACTGAAAGTTGACTTTGTGGAGCTACTTCTCAGATGTGCCCAGATATTATCAACATTTTAATAGCAAAAAAGCTGGGCCAACTTTCTAATTAACAGTCTTGCATTCAATACAGTAAATAATCTAAATTTCAAGCTTATTCTTGGAACTCAATAAAGTTATTTTTACTTTTAAACAAAAGAAAACACAATGACAAAAAAGGAAGGACCTAAGTAGCTTTCCTTCTCCTGAACTGGCTCTGGTGTAAATAAGTTTGTTCACCACTGACCTAGATGATTCAGAAATAAATCATGACTCTTTCCACTCAATCTTTATTCGTTGACATTGGATTTTTGCTTCCTTCAGCACCTAGTAATGAAAGGACTTTTTCTTGATGTCACATATGGAACTGATAGTTGCTCTGATATATTAACTGCTCAGAATTAACATTAAAACACTATTTCTGTAGACCACGAAGAAAATGAAGAAGCTGGAAAAGGATACAGCCACATGGAAAGCTCGGTTTGAGAACTGTAACAAAGCTCTGTTGGACATGATTGAAGAGGTGAGGAAGTTTTTCCTTTTGCTCATCTTCCCTCGTCTAGTCAATACATTTATACTCGGAAAATAATTATGCCCTAATAGCACAAATGAATACCTTTGAAGAGCTGAACTTTTTCTAGGGTGTGGTATATGATACTCTAATAAAAAATAATCTGAGCAAAAGTAATTTAGAGTTGGGTCCAGACTCATAAAGAGCATTGTGACCCTAAGTCACATGCCTACTTGTTGATTCCAAAGCTGTGCCCAAGACAGCACCACACCTGCTGGACTGTGAATTCCTCAAAGGCAGGATGAGTGTTTTACCTGTCTTTGAATTTCCCCGGTGCCGGACACATAACAGGTGCAGAATAAATTTATTAGCTGATTCAAGCATACTGAGAGAAAACACCAGCCCGAGCACCCAGGGTATGTGCTAACTTACAGACAGATGTGCATGTACATTGTTTAATTCCTCCAACAAGCACTTAAATCCTGATATTACATCAGGCTCTGGAGGTTTTGAGACCATAAAAGCAAAGATACATGACCCTTAATGTGAGAGAGAGGCTTACAGGTGAAGGTCTCTCCATGTAAACAAATGAGGAAAAAAAAGTCTTAAAAGGCATAGAGTAGCACAAAGCGGAAGGGTGGGGGAGGGTGGGGGAGTGGAGAAGTAAGATAATTCCATGCACAAACACACCAACATTTCTAGAGAAAAGGAGAACTGAATAGTTTGAGCAGCATCATGAAAGAGCGTGGTTACTTTCTCTGGATATAATTACTGTTTTAACACTTCATCCCAAACTGCAACCAATTCCAAAGAGATGTGTTTATTATTCACAAACGGAAATCAAACAGATGCTGGATTAGCATATAGCAGTTTATCTATAGGACAGATAAAGGCATTGCTGACCGCCAAATCCCAGTCCATCTCAGTCATTTTGCCGCAAGCCTCTGCTTATTCCTTCTAAGTCTTAGAAGAAAATGCATCTATTTTAAGATTTTTAGAAGCCCTAGACTGAAGCAGAGAGAAGCTTTGATATCTTTCTTTCCTTTTAAAAAAAAAAAGCGGATTAAAATTTCTACCAAGGTCTCCAACATAATGCAAAAATAGAAGTGACGTCCCTGACCAAGTATCTGTTCAGCCACCACCCTGTGGTCAAAGGCTAACAGACAAATTCTTCGATTAATGATTTTGCTTGTCTCCAGAGAGCATTTTACTTTACTCCAGTAAAACCTTGCAGTTTCACTTTTCACACCGTTTTGTTTGTGTGTGTTTAAATCACAGAAAGCACTGAGAGCTAAAGAATATGAGTGCTTCGTGATGAAAATTGGAAGGTTAGAGAACCTCTGTCGAGCTTTACAAGAAGAGAGAAACGAACTCTATAAAAAAATTAGAGAAGCAAAAATGCCTGAAAAGGATGACCAAGGTCAGCACACCTCTGATGAGGAGCCAAACACCTCTGTGAATGAAGAGGCTGACGCGGAGGAAGCCAACAGCGTTCACAAAGCTGTGCAAAATCTCGCGGCGGCCTTCATGATAATGCATTGTCCAGAGTCAACCCTCGACGTGTCCAAAGAAATCCACCCAGAAGTCAACAGTCCTCCAGGGGGCTGCGACACGGCCCTCAGGGGGCTGGAACAAGCTCCTCTGAGTCCCGCATGCCATTTAGATATCCCCCTGCCTCCCCCAAATCCTGAGGACAAGTCTGAGGACAAGGGAGTCAGTGAGACAGAACCTACCCTCAGAGGAGAGACAGGAGCTGAGGCCCAAGGCGATGGTCTCCCTGGTGCAGCACCGGCTGATGAGCAGAACCGGAATCCAGAGGCAGCAGCTTCCAGTCAGGCCCCGAAGGCCCCAGCCAAGCCCTCCCTACCGGTGGTGAAGGCCAATGAGCAGCCCGGGAAGCCAGAGGCAGCAGCTTCCAGTCAAGCCCAGGAGCCCGCAGCTGAGGCCTCGCTGCCGGCGATGGAAGTGAACGGGCAGCCCCGGAAGCCTGAGGCAGCGACTTCCGGTCAAGCCCTGGCGCCCCCAGCTGAGACCTTATGTGTGATGGAGGCCGAATGTTCCGCCCCACCACCTGCAGCGGGAGCGCACCTGCCAGCTAGGGAGTCTGGATGTGAGGCCATGAGGCAGCCCCCACCAGCAGCAGAGGGGCTGCCAGGAGGGGCCTCAGGTGGACCCCCACAGCCCAAAGTGGCCGACACCAATCTGGAAGGAGTAGACTAAGCCTCCTCAGCCTTTGGAGGCTGTTCTTCCTGACTTTCCATCGCCGTGGTAACGGATTATCTCCTGAAGGAGGCATTAAGGGCTAGGGAGGTCTAATGGAAGAGGCTTAATTAGAATCAATACATTTTTAAATGTTATGTAAAGTATCTTCAGCCTTTGCTATTTGTTCTCAATTTATAATTGATTTGGAGCTTTTCTGTTTAACATTGGTTGATAGTATAATTTTCCCAAATGACAACAAAACATACAGCGTAGCAAATCTGTATTAATTTGCCATTAAGATGGTACTTAATTCCATTTCTTAATCAACAGTAAGATTTGGTGTTTAAAGACTTCCACTACATAAATACTGAAAATGTAATGCTTTATTTCCATAGAGTTTAATAAGTTCCACAGTAAGTTAAATGGATGATCAGTTTCCATTTAGACATTATATACATATAATAATATATGCATATGTGTGTATGCTTATCATGTATATGTGTGAATATATACATATATGTGTCTATGCACATATATGCATGCATATTTTATATACATGTATGCAAGCATATATTGCATACACATTTCTCTTACCTCTTTTTGGCTTTCTCTCATGCAAAATATTTAGATGCTTATCAAAAAAATTTTTATCTCTTACTTGCACTTGGGACTACAGTAGATTAATGTTCTGTGAATCAGAAATAGGTTCAGAGCACAAATATTAGGCCACATAATGTTGGGTAAAAATAAGTAACCCAATGGTAGGTCAATAAATTCAGCCAACGGATTAAGTGACAGAACAGCAGTTGAGTTAGACTGCAAGGCTATAGAGAGTGAATGGACACAAAGATAGCCAAAAGCAGCCCTAAAAGTGGGGAAACAATCACAGCAGTGGACTGCTCACCTCTTCCAGCTGCTTCTCCTACACAACTCAGCCCATTGCTTTGCAACCCACTCGTGGCGAGGCAGCTTCCTACAAGGAAAGAGTTGGAAGTTGGGAAAGGGAACTAGGGGATGGAGGCGTTGAGGGCCCTCAGACGGAGAGGCTGTGCTCTGATCCCCCATCTCTGAACTAACAGTCTCAAGAGACCATATTCACCTGGCCCTGCCAACTCTTCAGTTGCCTCACTGTTGTCTACCACTCTCTCCAGAGGGTTCCCCACTACCTCCTGCTGTCGCATTCGTGGTCTAAATTCTCAAAGCTTCTGCTCCTTCTTTCCAATCCTCTCCTTTGCAACAGAAAATTACACTCAGCCCTCATCTCAATTATGGCTTAGTAAAAGCTATTATTCTTCTGAAACAGAAATCTACACAGGGTCTCAAGATGAGTGATGAGGTATACAAGCTAACACATTTTCTGCTTTAATGAATACTGTACAGCCAGAAGTACAAAGCAAAGAAAAAGTGGATTCCTACTCAAAATGACTTGAAAAATAGGTGAAGATTCAGGAGATGCAAAAGCTGAAAACACCTGGGGTTGTCTACATGAGTATTACATTATCATTGCATAATAAGAACCTCTAATAATACTGACAGCATGAATTACTGTATCTATAGTAAAGAGAGACTGCAACAGAGAAATAGGAAAAGAAGAGAGGGAGGTAGGAAAAAGGAAGAGAGAAGGGAGGAAGAGGAAAAAACATCTAACCCAATCCTACCTTGAAAGTAGAAAAATGGATAGAAGCAAGATTCTCTACTAATCATCCAAGAAATCATTCTTCAGTGTTGCACATGGCTGTCTGCTAAGGCCCACAGAGTACTTGTAGTTGGCAGCCGTGTGCTATAAGCATTGTAAACTGCATAACATTTGTTTGACGTAGACAGTGAGAGTCGTAACAAAATGCTAGTTGGGAAAAAAAATCAAGAAAAAAACATATCGCTATTTGAGAACCCATGTATTTTTAAAGGCTTAAGACATTATAACCACAGGGTATCCAGCCAAATTCAACATTAGCTGAAAATCTTAGAGATTTAAATGTTCATTTAATTCACAGCCAAATATGCACTAGAACAATCTAGGAGGGTCTCCTTCCTCTTTATTTTCAGCAACTGAACTTCCAAGAATGGGTAAGATTAGATAATCATAGTAAAGTCTCAGTCTGAATGTTTACTAAGAGGAACAGGCAGGAGAGGAGCCAAAATCTAGTAAATCAAATATTCTAATACCCAAAGTTCATTTTTTTTTAATCCAGAAGCTTTCATGGCAACACATTACTCACAACAGTGTATATCTTGGGCAAAATTTCAGATATAATACCGTGCCTAAAATTTGAAAGGTTTAATATAGGCTTTGAAAGAATTATTTTAATATTTAAAGAATGTTTTATTATAGTCCTTTGACCTTACTAATTATAACAATAACTCATAAGACCCGAAAGAATAAGGAATTTCTCTTCTTTATCAAGGTCATGTAACTGATTCTAGAGGTAATAAGTCTGCTTTCCAGAAACATTGGAGTTATTGGTATTTTCTAAATTAAATAACTATAATTTATGTATTTATTAAAAAGGTACCTCTCTTCCCACATGCTCTAGTAGTGGTTTTCTTTTTAAATTTTTTATATATATTTATTTTTACCTTTTTTACTCCTGTGTTTCAATATTACCTAACACAGATTGTGGTTATATACTCTTGGTTGAATTTTTAGTCTATGAATAGGATGTACACAGAGTGAACACTTTGGAAATCTTGGTTTGTGTATGTGAGAGAGAGAGAAAGAGGGAGGGAGGAAGGGAGACCGAGAGAACATGACGACCCACATCTAATGAGAGCAAAGAACCCAGTGGATGGCCAGCACTGCCTCAGACCTACCACACTTCAGTGCCAATCTCCCCTGAGACTAGGTTTCCACAGGTTTCTCTGTAAGGTGCCCTCTCTGAAATACCCTGAGGGAGGGAGTGTACAAAGGTGTCAGCTTATTTTCCTTTCTCTACCCAGTTCCTCTAACTGCCTTCAGCATTTTCTCTAGTAAGACCAGAAGAGGCCCATTGTTTGCTTTTTGCTTATTCCCTCTCCCCAGCCCATCTTGATCCAGGAGGGGCTTCTTGAACACGGCATTTCCTAGCACACTCGGAGAAGAGGATTGCTTAACTAGAATGTAGAGTAAGATTACACCTTGCCCTTTTTGTATGGTATAGATACACACTTTTCAAATACCTCCTTTTTCTGAAAGAATAAAAGTAGTATGTGTTCGTTGCAAAACTGAGGCTGCTTTTCAATAAGGCTAAGATATACCACTAAGAGAGAGATCATTTCAGGAAAATTTCCTTAGCCCCTTCTCTAACCAGCAGTTACATCCAGTCTTTAGGAAAACATAAAAGTAATTAAAATGTTAAGAATTCTCTAAAAGAAGATATGAAATAAAAAAACTCTGGTCTCTAAAATTTGTTCCCATCATAAGTTGGCAAGTAGGATTTAGGAAGTAAGTAAGCAAGTAGAGTATATGGGTTAAATTTGCACAAGGCTTAAATAATTGCCATTTCTGAACCTGAAAATTAAAAGTTATCATTAGATTATCCATGAGAGCATGCCATGAGAATAGAAACATTCACAAATGATAGCGTTAAAGGTTTTCCTTAGCACTGTTCAGTTGTATCCTCAATACCTAAAGTTGAGTCTCCTTGGTGGTATCCCCTGATGGAAGTTCCACAAATGCTAGTTACTGATGCAGATGTGTGTGAATACACACACACATAGCACACATGTATAAAATTGACATAGATTTAATTCTGTTCCTATGAGTGAGTCTTTGCACCTGTATTTTCAAAGGATACTTAGCATCATTTTTCCTGGACTAAGTATAAAAAGGAATCATTTCCTGCATGAATAAGGATATTTGATAGAAACATTTAACTAGCAAAATAAACCTACAAATTCATTGATCCATGGCATAAAAACTATTCATAGAAGCTGTTTCACTCTATCAGGAGATGAGAAATGAGATAAATCATTTCAGCAGGACAATCAAACTTGGTAAAATCCAAATGCAAGTCCTTCCTGCTGGATATTAGAGCCTCAGACTTTCCATTAACACCAACGTCCATCTCATTTATTTCTTTGCAATATATAACAATACTTTTTGAATGAATGAGTTCAAGTGAGGGTAATAGGTGTTAAGAGCCACCAGATTTGTGTGTTCACACTGCGTATTCAAATTTTATATGCTTACATGTAAGTTTATTATATTACTTATGGAATAAGCATGACTATGCAAAGACAAATACACAGCACACTTATACGTTGTTTGGAAAAGTTATGCAATGCAATTCATGTAAACATTGTACCATTTCCAAGTAAATCTACTGGACATAGGCTAGAGTGAGATGTCTAAACCTAACACAGCTCAAAAATTATATAAAAATCAGAAACCTACTCTAAAGAAATACAAATGCCTTAAACAGCAAAACAAGAAAAAGTCAAACTCCAGTTGATAAAGTGACAGAAAACATGATAATACCATCAGTTCAGTTCAGTTCAGCTCAGTCGCTCCGTTGTGTCCGACTCTTTGCGACCCCATGAACCGCAGCACGCCAGTCCTCCCTGTCCATCACCAACTGCCGGAGTTTACTCAAACCCATGTCCATCAAGTGATGCCATCCAGCGATCTCATCCTCTGTTGTCCCCTTCTCCTCCTGCCCCCAGTCCCTCCCAGCATCAGGGTCTTTTCCAGTGAGTCAGCTCTTTGCATGAGGTGGCCAAAGTATTAGAGTTTCAGCTTCAGCATCAGTCCTTCCAATGAACACCCAGGACTGATCTCCTTTAGGATGGACTGGTTGGATCTCCTTGCAGTCCAAGGAACTCTCAAGAGTCTTCTCCAACACCACAGTTCAAAAGCATCAACTCTTCGGCTCTCCAGTTTCTTCACCATCCAACTCTCACATCCATACATGACCACTGGAAAAACCATAGCCTTGACTAGATGGACCTTTGTTGACAAAGTAATGTCTCTGCTTTTTAATATGCTGTCTAGGTTGGCCATAACTTTCCTTCCAAGGAGTAAGCATCTTTTAATTTCATGG